TCTTTATTTTACTCATTTCACTCATGTATGATCACTTTATTTATGTTTGTCCCTTTATTTATGTCTGTCACTTTATTTATGTTTGTCACTTTATTTATGTTTTTCACTTTATTTATGTTTTTCACTTTATTTATGTTTTTCACTTTATTTATGTTTGTCCCTTTATTTATGTTTGTCACTTTATTTATGTTTGTCACTTTATTTATGTTTGTCCCTTTATTTATGTTTGTCACTTTATTTATGTCGGTCACTTTATTTATGTTTGTCCCTTTATTTATGTTTTTCCCTTTATTTATGTTTATCACTTTATTTATGTTTGTCCCTTTATTTATGTTTGGTCACTTTATTTATGTCGGTCACTTTATGACAATATTTGAAACAAAACAATCTTCACTGTGTTCGCCTGTACAACACCAGCGGGAGTTAAGTAGCGAGTCTTATTTTGACGTCTTTTTCTTTACACATTTTTCTGTTTCTCTCTATCGTCTTTTTCTCTCTTTTCGCGGCTACTATATTTCTCTCACTCTGTTTACTTCCGGGGCAAGGTAAAAGGTCACATAACTTAAAAGGTAAATATTTCACAAATAAATATAAAATGAATAACTGTGGTGTTCTGACACATCTTAAATATTTGAACAAATAAAATAATAATTTTCTCACTTATTACCATGAAAACAAATCCACTGACATTATCAGCAGCTCCACAGGTTTTGAACAAAAGAAAAACCAAGAGGCTGTGGCTGCAGACACATGGGGAAAGTGGAGCTCCACTCTAGACCGGAAACACGTGACCTCCACCGAAGACGTCATCTCTACTTTTATGGAGAACTATGGGGCGACGAAACGATTTATTTTGACCGCAAATAAATGTTTATTAAATAAGATTGTTTTTACGTTATGGAATTTGTTCGCACATATAAACACGGAGCAAAACGACCATCTGGAAGACGGAGAAACATGTGAGTAACACACTTTTAACTTTAGGAAGTCATTACTGAAGGCTGGATCAAGTGGTGAAGTTTCTTGAGTGCATCACATGTGCATATTAAACATTGAATTTATATATTTGTTTGACTATTACACATTGAGTTATTTAACCACTGAAATCTTCTGTATGTTTAAATGTACCACTATGTGAAACATGTTTGCTTTTAAAGTAATCCTTTGCAGATATAGGTTGTGTCCTTTTAAGGAAATTCATTGCAGAGCAGCGACTGTGGAGATGGTTCAGCCTGGTGTGAAACTAAACAAACGGGTGATTTACATTTGGCTGCTGTCAACTCCCTAAACCTAAAGGAATGCAGAGATACTCCAGAGAAGATTCAAGGCGTTACCTGTTCAACATATTATTTGCATATTCATATGGATGTCTATAAAATCTGATTTGAGGTATTCAGAGGCGTCCAGATTTGCCTGATTTAAGACCTGTGTAGCCGTAGGCGTCAGGGGTAACGATCTGACCCAGAGCTCTGGATTAGAATTGTATTGTTTAGGGAATAAATTCTTTTTGATTTTAATCCATCGATTCCAGTGGTTATTTTTAAGAGAACACGCTGAATGGATTTTTGAGGAAACCTAACAGGGAGTAACAGATTACATGTACCAGAGTAATCAGAGTACAAATGATGAGTAACTGTATTCAGTTACAGTTACTGTTTCAGTCAGTGGTAATTGGATTACAGTTACTTTGTTCAAATAAGTGGATTACACAGCAGTATTTTCCTGTTTTCACATTTTGGGCTAAATCCCCCCCCCCCCACACACACACACACACACACACACACACTTTTTTTTTTTTTTCTGTAATTCTTCTCATTGCCGGACACTAAACCAGGTCTAAACCAGGACTAAACCAGGACTAAACCAGGTCTAAACCAGGACTAAACCAGGTCTAAACCAGGACTAAACCAGGACTAAACCAGGACTAAACCAGGTCTAAACCAGGTCTAAACCAGGACTAAACCAGGTCTAAACCAGGTCTAAACAGACAAAACTTCTTCTGTTACGATTTCCTCGTCTTTGTTTCTCTGCAGCAAATCAAGTATCCAAAGTATTCAGATTACATTACTCACCTAAAATAATTTAATATATTATGTTACAAACTACATTTTGGTGTATGTAATCTGTAATCTGTAATGTGTAGGGGATTACATTTTAAAAGTGACCTTCCCAACACTGTCTGTTAGTCAGACATAACAAGTGAAAAACATGTCGTATAACCATGTCAAGGCCGTTGTGTGACGCTTAACAATAAAAGGGCTGTGGGGTGTCGTCTCTGGCTTGTTAGGGTTTAGGGTTTAGGGAGTCTTTGGGTTAATTCCCTGACAACTCCACATGAATCAACAAAAACATGGTTTATAGACATTTCCAGAGCCATAAACGGGACGTGCGAGCGGCGTTAACACATCGTTTATAACAGTTAAAGATCCAGGGTCCTGCCTTGTAGAATGAAACGTCCCCGTGCGTCTCACCTCCAGGTCCAGTGTGAGTCGGGTCGGTGAGGACTCGTCTGAAGCTCTACAGTCTTACAGGGAGGTCAGATCTTAAAAGGTACTCACCAAAAGGAAGTCGTCTTTTTGTTGAAATCAGGAGAACTTCACACAACTTGGAAATGTTTCTGTGCTCATTTGATGAAGCCTTTTCGTCCTCTTCTTAGTGATGGTCATTTGAAGCCGAGGCACAGAGGCTTGTACCGAGTAAAAGGGGGCGTGTCCAGTGAAGCCCCGATTCGAGGTTTGGGTCAGATGACCAAAAACCACGTGACCGTCATAGAGTGAAGCGTCACTTCCGCCCGGTCACTGTAGTGTCTGTGTCCCATTTCATTTTTATGTCATGCAGCCTTCAAATGCAGCCCTAAAACCGGCCTCGTTTCCATGGAGATGGGGCCGCGAACGGAGGACACATCCGGGTATCCTTCGCAGCCTTCAGTATCCCAGCATGCACCGCGCGGCGGCAGTCACATGTTTGAAAACACGGAGCGAAAAGCCCGTCCCGAGAAAAACATGTGAAAAACACTTTTAACTTTAGGAAATCATTACTAACGCAACTGTAAACGTAAAATATGACCATAAGTCCCACAAAACTGTCAAATAAGTTTGTTTTTAACTGCGTGAATCGCGGAATTTTGAGCTAAAGTTTGCCTAGTAATGTGCAGCTAATGCGATGAAAAATCCGCTCAAACTTTCATATTTGGACACATTTCCATCAAACACTCATCATGTTTTTACTGTTAGGGGAAAAGAAGCTCACGGAGTGATTTAAAGAAGCTACGAAGAGAAAACTCCACACGACACACACCGCACGAGGACACGGCACACACCGCACGAGGACACGACACACTGCACGAGGACACGACACACACAACACACACGACTGCACGAGGACACGACACACTGCACGAGGACACGACACACACTGCACGAGGACACGACACACACTGCACGAGGACACGACACACTGCACGAGAACACGACACCACACACACTGCACGAGGACATGACACACTGTACGAGAACACGACACACACTGCACGAGGACACGACACACTGCACGAGGACACGACACACACTGCACGAGGACACGGCACACACTGCACGAGGACACGACACACTGTACGAGGACACGACACACACTGTACGAGGACACGACACACACTGTACGAGGACACGGCACACACTGCATGAGGACACGGCACACACTGCACGAGGACACGACACACACTGCACGAGGACACGACACACACTGCACGAGGACACGACACACACTGCACGAGGACACGAGGACACACACACTGCACACACTGCACGAGGACACGACACACACTGCACGAGGACACGACACACTGTACGAGGACACGACACACTGTACGAGGACACGGCACACACTGCATGAGGACACGGCACACACTGCACGAGGACACGACACACACTGCACGAGGACACGGCACACACACACGCACGAGGACACGACGACACACACACGCACACACGACACGAGGACACGACACACACTGCACGAGGACACGACACACTGTACGAGGACACGACACACTGTACGAGGACACGGCACACACCGCACGAGGACACACACACACTGCACACTGCACGAGGACACGACACACACTGCAAGAGGACACGACACACAGTACGAGGACACGGCACACTGTACACAACACGCACCCACCACATGCAATACACACACCACATACACACACATAATACACATACAACACATACAACAAACACAACATATACAACACACACCATTCAGTAATCAGACTTCGTTGACCAAAACATTTCTCCCAAACTCATTTTTACTCATTCAAAGTTCAACACTTTGATTTCACTTTCATCTTTTAACTTGGGTCTTGGTTACAAAATTTAAGATGTTGTGGAAATTGTGCGTGATAAAAAGGAGCCGACAACTTCTCACATTTCAGACACAAAAAATCGTGTGTCGCTTTATTAAATCTACTCACAACTGCAGTGAAACGGCTAATAACGGTAAACAGAACAGCGCGCCTCAAATGTCAACGGGTCCGCGACTATACTGTATAGAGAGCACAAACCTAAAAACCTGAAAACTGAACATAGGTAAACATGTAACTAATGTGTCTCTAGTTAGCGGTGAATTATGTATGCAAACATGTATGTTAAAGGCACTACAATGTTTTTAAATGATTTGATAATAAAACAAAATCAAATCCTCTTCAGAAAGCTTTTCGGCGATGCTGAGTTTTATGAAAGTGTCAGACTTGTGCGTCCACAGAAACATGGTGACCTCAGAGAAAGAGACGTCCTCGGCGTTTGCAGATACACCTGAAAAACTCATGCCTGAATTTTGGGACGAAATGCAAAAAGTGGATCACACTGAACTAAAACACCAAACGTCCTCTTTGGGAAACATGGCTGTAAGAGAAAACAAACCAGAGCAAAACCTAACGCAGCGCTTTGAACAAATGGCCCTTGTGACGAGTTTAGAATTAAAACAAACAAGCGGCATCAGGAAACAGAAACTTTAACTGAGCTACAGAAACCATCTCCAAACAACAACAGAAGCAAACAGTATAAAACAACAATCAAATATAAACAACAAAGAAAAACATCTTAACGTGTCATTTAACACTTGTATTTTTGACACTACACATCGGCCAACTCCACAGTCTGGAGTCTCTGAAGCCTGATCTCCAGCTTCTTGAGTCTGACTTTAGGCTCACTTGATCCGGCCTCAGCAGCTCTTTCTCCTTTCCCCACAGACCCCAAATCCTTCCCTCTTTCTTCAGTCGTCTGGTTCGTCTCCTGTGTGCGTTCGGTAGTGACTGGACAGTTCCTGGGATGTTCTGAAGAACTTTTCACACTGGTCACACTCGTATAGTCTGTGCCAGAAGTGAAGTCTCATGTGTGTATTGAGACTGGATGATTGAGAGAAAGTTTTCTCACACTGGTCACATCTGTATGGTTTTACCCCTGTGTGGACTCTCATATGTTGATAGAGGCCACTAGAGTCTCTAAATTGGATCCCACACTGGTCACACTCGTACGGTTTCTCTCCAGTGTGGACTCTCATATGTGATTTTAGGGATTCTGACAGTGAAAATGTCTTCTCACAAACGTCACATCTGTGTGGTTTTACCCCTGTGTGGACTCTCATATGTTGATGGAGGGCACTATACTGTCTAAATTGGATCCCACACTGGTCACATCTGTATGGTTTCTTTCCAGTGTGGACTCTCATATGTATTTTTAGGCTGTTTGATCATGAAAATGTCTTCTCACAAACGTCACATTCAAATGGTTTCTCTCCAGTGTGGACTCTCATATGTCAATAGAGACCACTAGATTGTCTAAATTGGATCCCACACTGGTCACACTCGTATGGTTTCTCTCCAGTGTGGATTCTCATATGTGATTTTAGGTGGCCTGACAGTGAAAATGTCTTCTCACAAACATCACATCTGTATGGTTTTACCCCTGTGTGGATTCTCATATGTTTATGGAGGCCACTAGAGTTTCTAAATTTGATCCCACACTGGTCACACTCATACGGTTTCTCTCCAGTGTGGACTCTCATATGTGATTTTAGGTGCCTGACAGTGAAAATGTCTTCTCACAAACATCACATCTGTGTGGTTTTACCCCTGTGTGGATTCTCATATGGATATGGAGGAAATTTAAGTCTCTAAATTTCTTCCCACACTGGTCACACTTGTATGGTTTCTCTCCAGTGTGGACTCTCATATGTCGTTTTATGTGGCTTGACCGTGAAAATGTCTTCTCACAAACGTCACATTCAAATGGCTTCTCTCCTGTGTGAACTCTCATGTGTTGATGGAGATGATCTGATTGTTTGAATCCCGTCCCACACTGGTCACACTCGTACGGTCTTTCCCCTGTGTGAGTTCTGTAGTGTTTTTTCAGTTCCGAAGCATTTGGCCAACACTTTTCCACACTGGTCACATGTGAAGGTCATTCTGTTGGTGGATCTTGTAGCTCTGCATCAGAACAAAGGAAAGAAAGTGTCAAGTAAAATCACTTTTTAAACTGTTCAAATAAAGTAACTGTAACTAAATACACATAAAATCACACATAGTAAATCATATGTAAGAATGAGTGTGTTTTCATGCACATCAGTGTCCCGGTTATGTCAGGATTCGGGATACTGTGTTTACATGCGCGTGGAGAAACCGGGACACTCATGTCCCTGTGACATGATCAAATGGAGTATCCCGGTTTCTTCACATAATCTTACAAATGCTCTAATGCAAAAATGAACTTAAATCAATTTAATAAACCAGGAAAAGAGGAAGCAGAGGAAGTTCGGGAGGTTTAACCAGCGGTACGATATCCCACAATCCACTGCACACATCAAACCCAACAGATTCTTCATTAAATCTTCTGCATAAATAAACTCAACTTTACAACATCTAAACCATAAACACTATAGACACATCAGCCCGTTTGATCAGATCATTCAACTTTGATCACATTTGTTTACGTTTTACAGAAACGAAACTTAAAACCGCAGGGCTAATTAGCATAAACTGTTAGCGCTGATAAAAACAACTCGCTCCTTGTGCCACTGATGCGATTCAGCTTCTGTGGGACTAAAGGACACGACTCAGTGGATTATGTGTGTTCTTTTTGTGACAGAGGAGGTGATAATGATGGTGAGTCTGTTCAGTGTGTATATCGTAGGAGATAGTTCATGTTTTAGCTTTTCAGAGAGTCTCCAACAGAGACATTGAACAAGTTTGTTGCTCTGAATTCTAATCCACATGTTGAGTGGATCTGATAAATGTAACACACGTGAAGACAGAAGCCAGGGCTTTGGTGGAACAGAGACACTTTAATTCTGTAAGGACAGAAAAAGTCATGAGTGACCGTGAACAACAGTTTACACTGAACTGTGCTGCTTCTGCTCTATGACCACACACACTAATACTTTAGTCATTACACTGTTATTTCCAATATTATCTGTTACAGGTTGTAGCTCCCCTGGTTTTCTTCGCAAAAAAGGACTTCATGCTCCGTACTGATGATCATGTGTCAGTATTTATTCTTAGTCATCTTCAACTCCATCAACACATTGAAACACCGTGAAAACTAAAATAAAGACGGACACAGAAAAGGCTTAGGTTTACATAAAAACCTTTAAATGAATGCAGAACTGAAAACAATATTTACCGTCTTTGTGTGTGTGTGTGTATAGTGTGTGTGTGTATAGTGTGTGTGTGTGTGTGTGTGTGTATAGTGTGTGTGTGTGTGTGTGTATAGTGTGTGTGTGTGTGTATAGTGTGTGTGTGTGTGTGTGTGTGTGTAATGGGTTTGATGTTTGACTATTCACATTATGATAAAGTATTTACACAAATTCCTTTGATTGTTTAATAAACCATCTTTTCTCTTTTCTCTTTCTTTATAAACTGACTTAAATACTTTCCTGGTATAAATGTAATCCCTTATCAATTTAAAAATACTTTATTCATAATTAAGAATCTCATCACAGTTTTTGAATCTTGAAGGTCATTTAGTCTATTTTAGATGTATCCCACACATAAAGACGTTTTGTTCTGCAAAAGTTAAACATAAGTTTTCGTTTTTAGCCATAAGATTTGAATGATTAGAATAAGTTGGTGTGAAATGTGGACAGTTTGTTTACCCGTGCGTCATCTGCGTGGTGTCACATTTCAGCTACGACGAGGGCTGCAGCCTTCACAGCCTTCGAAAGCTGCCGCCCTTGAATTGGGACACGGCTAATATGAATAAAAAATAAACAATCAAAATAAAAAGTCTCTAGTAGATGTGACGTGTATCCGGTGGAGGTCACGTGTTTCCGGTCTGGAGTGGAGCTCCACTTTCCCCGTGTGTCTCCCACAAACGTGTTTTCATGTTCTGCTCTAGTCAGTCTCTTGTATCAGCACAACTTGAAATACAAATGATAGAGGCACACGACAGTGAACTACTGTTATAGAATGTTTGTGTTATGAGACATTCAGTCATTTAAAGTATTCATCTATGTTTAATCATTGTACATTATAAGATGATCAAAATTGCTTTGTGTCTTGTTCAAACTGTATGTAACTATAGAACATCAGCTGACATCTGTTGGCACATTTGTTCTGACACGGGCCCCGGAGAAGCTGAGAAGGAACTGTTTGTGACCCGGAATAATGAAATTGAGTGTGTAATCAGGTGCAGTGTCAGCTGTAGTCTGTTAGCAGTGTTGGGGAGTAACAGATTACATGTACCAGAGTAATCAGAGTACAAATGATGAGTAACTGTATTCAGTTACATTTACTGTTTCAGTGAGTGGTAATTGGATTACAGTTACTTTGTTCAAATAAATGGATTACACAGCAGTATTTTCCTGTTTTCACATTTTGGGCTAAACCCCCCACACACTTTTTCTTTTTTTTTCTGTAATTCTACTCATTGCTGGTGGTTGCTGCTACATCTTAACGTGTCATTTAACACTTGTATTTTTGACACTACACATTGGCCAACTCCACAGTCTGGAGTCTCTGAAGCCTGATCTCCAGCTTCTTGAGTCTGACTTTAGGTTCACTTGATCCGGCCTCAGCAGCTCTTTCTCCTTTCCCCACAGACCCCAAATCCTTCCCTCTTTCTTCACATTCGTCTGGTTCGTCTCCTGTGTGCGTTCGGTAGTGACTGGACAGTTCCTGGGATGTTCTGAAGAACTTTTCACACTGGTCACACTCGTATAGTCTGTGCCAGAAGTGAAGTCTCATGTGTGTATTGAGACTGGATGATTGAGAGAAAGTTTTCTCACACTGGTCACATCTGTATGGTTTCTCTCCAGTGTGGACTCTCATATGTGATTTTAGGTGGCCTGACTGTGAAAATGTCTTCTCACAAACATCACATCTGTATGGTTTCTCTCCAGTGTGGACTCTCATATGTGATTTTAGGTTGTTTGACAGTGAAAATGTCTTCTCACAAACCTCACATCTGTATGGTTTTACCCCTGTGTGGATTCTCATATGATGATGGAGGCCACTAGAGTCTTTAAATTTCTTCCCACACTGGTCACACTCGTACGGTTTCTCTCCAGTGTGGACTCTCATATGTGATTCTAGGTGGCTTGACAGTGAAAATGTCTTCTCACAAACATCACATTGAAATGGTTTCTCTCCAGTGTGGACTCTCATATGTTGTTTTAGGTGGCTTGACTGTGAAAATTTCTTCTCACAAACATCACATTCAAATGGCTTCTCTGATGTGTGGATTCTCATATGTCGATGGAGGGTACTAGAGTCTCTAAATTGGATCCCACACTGGTCACACTTGTATGGTTTCTCTCCAGTGTGGATTCTCATATGTGATTTTAGGCTGTTTGACTGTGAAAATGTCTTCTTACAAACGTCACATTCAAATGGTTTCTCTCCAGTGTGGACTCTCATATGTGATTTTAGGTGGCTTGACAGTGAAAATGTCTTCTCACAAACATCACATTCAAATGTCTTCTCTCCTGTGTGGATTCTCATATGTCGATGGAGCTCACCAGATTGTTTGAATCCTGTCCCACACTGGTCACACTCATACGGTCTTTCCTCTGTGTGAGTTCTGTAATGTACTTTAAGTCTGGAAGCATTTGGCCACACTTTTCCACACTGGTCACATGTGAAGGTCATTCTGTTGGTGGATCTTGTAGCTCTGCATCAGAACAAAGTAAAGAAAGTGTCAAGTAAAATCACTTTTTAAACTGTTCCAATAAAGTAACTGTAACTAAATACACATAAAATCACACATAGTAAATCATATGTAAGAATGAGTGTGTTTTCATGCACATCAGTGTCCCGGTTATGTCAGGATTCAGGATACTGTGTTTACATGCGCGCGGAGAAACCGGGACACTCATGTCCCTGTGACATGATCAAATGGAGTATCCCGGTTTCTTCACATAATCTTACAAATGCTCTAATGCAAAAATGAACTTAAATCAATTTAATAAACCAGGAAAAGAGGAAGCAGAGGAAGTTCGGGAGGTTTAACCAGCGGTACGATATCCCACAATCCACTGCACACATCAAACCCAACAGATTCTTCATTAAATCTTCTGCATAAATAAACTCAACTTTACAACATCTAAACCATAAACACTATAGACACATCAGCCCGTTTGATCAGATCATTCAACTTTGATCACATTTGTTTACGTTTTACAGAAACTAAACTTAAAACCGCAGGGCTAATTAGCATAGTGACAGAGGAGGTGATAATGATGGTGAGTCTGTTCATTACATGTGAGTAACACGCTTTTAACTTTAGGAAGTCATTACTGAAGGCTGGATCAAGTGGTGAAGTTTCTTGAGTGCATCACATGTGCATATTACACATTGAATTTATATATTTGTTTGAATATTACACATTGAGTTATTTAACCACTGAAATCTTCTGTATGTTTAAATGTACCACTATGTGAAACATGTTTGCTTTTAAAGTAATCCTTTGCAGATATAGGTTGTGTCCTTTTAAGGAAATTCATTGCAGAGCAGCGACTGTGGAGATGGTTCAGCCTGGTGTGAAACTAAACAAACGGGTGATTTACATTTGGCTGCTGTCAACTCCCTAAACCTAAAGGAATGCAGAGATACTCCAGAGAAGATTCAAGGCGTTACCTGTTCAACATATTATTTGCATATTCATATGGATGTCTATAAAATCTGATTTGAGGTATTCAGAGGCGTCCAGATTTGCCTGATTTAAGACCTGTGTAGCCGTAGGCGTCAGGGGTAACGATCTGACCCAGAGCTCTGGATTAGAATTGTATTGTTTAGGGAATAAATTCTTTTTGATTTTAATCCATCGATTCCAGTGGTTATTTTTAAGAGAACACGCTGAATGGATTTTTGAGGAAACCTAACAGGGAGTAACAGATTACATGTACCAGAGTAATCAGAGTACAAATGATGAGTAACTGTATTCAGTTACAGTTACTGTTTCAGTGAGTGGTAATTGGATTACAGTTACTTTGTTCAAATAAGTGGATTACACAGCAGTATTTTCCTGTTTTCACATTTTGGGCTATAACCCCCCCCCCCACACACACACACACACACACACACACACTTTTTTTTTTTTTTTTTTAACGTAATTCTACTCATTGCAGGACACTAAACCAGGACTAAACCAGGTCTAAACCAGGACTAAACCAGGACTAAACCAGGACTAAACCAGGTCTAAACCAGGTCTAAACCAGGTCTAAACCAGGACTAACCAGGACTAAACCAGTCTAAACCAGGTCTAAACCAGGACTAAACCAGGTCTAAACCAGGACTAAACCAGGTCTAAACCAGGACTAAACCAGGTCTAAACCAGGACTAAACCAGGACTAAACCAGGACTAAACCAGGTCTAAACCAGGACTAAACCAGGTCTAAACCAGGACTAAACCAGGTCTAAACAGACAAAACTTCTTCTGTATTCAGATTACATTACTCACCTAAAATAATTTAATATATTATGTTACAAACTACATTTTGGTGTATGTAATCTGTAATCTGTAATGTGTAGGGGATTACATTTTAAAAGTGACCTTCCCAACACTGTCTGTTAGTCAGACATAACAAGTGAAAAACATGTCGTATAACCATGTCAAGGCCGTTGTGTGACGCTTAACAATAAAAGGGCTGTGGGGTGTCGTCTCTGGCTTGTTAGGGTTTAGGGTTTAGGGAGTCTTTGGGTTAATTCCCTGACAACTCCACATGAATCAACAAAAACATGGTTTATAGACATTTCCAGAGCCATAAACGGGACGTGCGAGCGGCGTTAACACATCGTTTATAACAGTTAAAGATCCAGGGTCCTGCCTTGTAGAATGAAACGTCCCCGTGCGTCTCACCTCCAGGTCCAGTGTGAGTCGGGTCGGTGAGGACTCGTCTGAAGCTCTACAGTCTTACAGGGAGGTCAGATCTTAAAAGGTACTCACCAAAAGGAAGTCGTCTTTTTGTTGAAATCAGGAGAACTTCACACAACTTGGAAATGTTTCTGTGCTCATTTGATGAAGCCTTTTCGTCCTCTTCTTAGTGATGGTCATTTGAAGCCGAGGCACAGAGGCTTGTACCGAGTAAAAGGGGGCGTGTCCAGTGAAGCCCCGATTCGAGGTTTGGGTCAGATGACCAAAAACCACGTGACCGGCATAAAGTGAAGCGTCACTTCCGCCCGGTCACTGTGTTACGTGAACACGCACACTTTATAGACTACTGCTTTTTTTTTTTATTCACTTTGACTTTATTCTAACTTTCACCTGCTAAAAGAAGCTTTTTTATTTATAGAGCATTTTGGTTTTACTACCAGAACATGTCCGTGTAACCTACGTATTTTCTTGTGTTAGTTTTTTTCACTGAATATGACGTACAGTCAGTTCAACATTCTTTCAGCTCTAAAATTATATTTGTGTCATTTAAGCAAATTTCATGGATCATGTCACAGCTGAAGTGGATCAGAGACTGAATCAGAAGAAGCAAGAAGCACTGGGACAGTTTATAGTCGTGTTGATTGTCTGTGTGTTTGTGGATAGTGCTTAAAATAAATACTTGATGCAGAAGAAAGACTGAACCAGGACTAAACCAAGACTGAATAAGCACCGCTGGTGGAGGTTTGAAGAGCAGTTTATTGAAGCAGCGTGATAAAAATATACAAAGTTCACAAGATGATTCAGACCAAAACCCAAACATGCCTCAGGGTCAAAAGTACTGCGAAAAGTACTGCGAATAGTACTGCGAATAGTACTGCAGGAACCCCCAAAAGTACTGCGAGATGTGTAGTATGTGTGTGTGTTTGTGTAAAATGGCAGAAACTTGTGCTTTTTCGTCACGTCGTCGACATCAGGTTCAGACCAGCAGCTGTCAATCAAAAAATGTACAAAAATATGGAACGAGAAGAAAAAATAAATAAAAAATTAATAAAAAAACATTGAAGAAAACTCCCCGGGCGCGACGTTAAAGAGGAGGTATTTACTTCTCCGTCGTCTGAAATCTCCACGTTCCTTTTATTTGTGTTTTGAAAATGTTTTATTCACCCAAAAAAAGACGTAAGCTAAGTCACTCCCCCTTCAGAGCACCAACACAACCCAACAAGATCAGTGTGTAAATGCATGTGTAAGTGTGTGTGTAAATGTGTGTGTAAATGCGTAAGTGTGTGTGTAAGTGTGTGTGTAAGTGTGTGTGTAAGTGTGTGTGTAAGTGTGTGTGTGTGTACATGTGTAAATGTGTGTGTAAATGTAAATATGTGTGTAAGTGTGTGTGTGTAAATGTGTAAATGTGTAAGTGTGTGTGCAAATGTAAATGTGTGTGTAAATGTGTGTGTAAGTGTGTGTGTGTAAATATGTGTGTGTAAGTGTGTGTGTGTAAATGTGTGTGTAAGTGTGTGTGTGTAAATGTGTGTAAGTGTGTGTGTGTAAATGTGTGTGTGTGTAAATGTGTGTGTGTAAATGTATGTGTAAATGTGTAAGTGTGTGTGTAAATGTGTGTGTAAATGTGTAAGTGTGTGTGTAAATGTGTGTGTAAATGTAAATGTGTGTGTAAGTGTGTGTGTGTAAATATGTGTGTGTAAGTGCGTGTGTGTAAATGTGTGTGTAAGTGTGTGTGTGTAAACATGTGTGTAAGTGTGTGTGTGTAAATATGTGTGCGTAAATGTGTGTGTAAGTGTGTGTGTAAATATGTGTGTGTAAATGTGTGTGTAAGTGTGTGTGTGTAAATATGTGTGTGTAAATGTAAATGTGTGTGTAAGTGTGTGTGTGTAAATATGTGTGTGTAAATGTGTGTGTAAGTGTGTGTGCAAATGTAAATGTGTGTGTAAATGTGTGTGTAAGTGTGTGTGTGTAAATATGTGTGTGTAAGTGTGTGTGTGTAAATGTGTGTGTAAGTGTGTGTGTGTAAATGTGTGTAAGTGTGTGTGTGTAAATGTGTGTGTGTGTAAATGTGTGTGTGTAAATGTATGTGTAAATGTGTAAGTGTGTGTGTAAATGTGTAAGTGTGTGTGTAAATGTGTGTGTAAATGTAAATGTGTGTGTGTAAGTGTGTGTGTGTGTGTAAATATGTGTGTGTAAATGTGTGTGTAAGTGTGTGTGTGTAAATGTAAATATGTGTGTGTAAATGTGTGTGTGTAAATGTGTGTGTAAGTGTGTGTGTGTAAATGTAAATATGTGTGTGTAAATGTGTGTGTAAGTGTGTGTAAGTGTGTGTGTGTGTAAATTTGTGTGTGTGTGTGTGTGTAAATATATGTGTGTAAGTGTGTGTGTAAACGTGCACAGTTTCGTGTCATGTTCGTGTGACGTGGGCTTGTGGGCGGAGCCTCGTACAGACTCCTGCTGCATCTCACCGTGAGGAGGGTTTGAACAGGGCACGGGACAGATCGCTAGATTACCCAAACATGAACGGAGGACTCTTAAAAAAAAAAAAAAAAAAAAAAAAAAACCTCTTCAGACGAGTTTTTGACGAACATGGGAGAAAACTTTTTAAAAACCAAAAAATTTTACGGAATACCTCCTCTTTAACGACGGCACCACAAATAAATAAATAAATACTTAAATAAATAAATGTATAAAAATAGGTTTGTATTTTGCATAAACAGTACAAAATAAGCCTTAAATCCATAAATTATAATATCGTAAAAACAACACACACGGAATGACGCGGTTTAAACGGCGCGTTGTGAATAAATAAATAAACCACGTTAAAAATCCACTGATCATGTGACTTTTCAAACGGACCCAAAACCGTCGGATTCTTTCGGGACGCTCCGGATTTTGTGGAAATTTCACAGTTTCAGATTCACAGACGTAAAGTGCATTTCCAAAGCCCAGATTCTTTTTGCAGAAACGTCATCTTTTTTTTTTTTTTTTCTTTTTCTTCTTCTTCTTCACAAACATTCGGAAAAGGTTTAAAATTTTCGCCGTTTTTTTTTTTTTTTTTGAGGCTCAGACAAAAGTTCACGACGCGTTTTGACACGGAACGATCCCGGACACGACTTTGTTTGGGATTTTAATCTAAAACGTTCCGAATTAATAAAAACATTCATTTGCAAAGTTTAAATTGCACGTGACAGATCAGGCTCAAACATTTTTAAATTTAAGACTATTTAACCAGGACTAAACCAGGCCTAAACCAGATCTAATCCAGGACTAAATCAGGACTAAACCAGGTCTAAACCAGGTCTAAACCAGATCTAAATCATGTCTAAAACGAGTCTAAATCAGGTCTAAACTGGGTCTAAACCAGGTCTAAACCAGGACTAAATCAAGTCTAAACCAGGACTAAACCAAGTCTAAACCAGGTCTAAATCAGGACTAAATCTGGTCTACATCAAGTCTAAACCAGATCTAAACCAGGCCTAAACTGAGTCTAAACCAGGACTAATCGAGAACTAAACCAGGTCTGAATCTGTCCCGTGCACTTTAACATTTTAACTTGTCAAATTGTGTAAATTTAAGATTAAAATCCTGAATTTAAATGCGCACTGTGTAACTTTTCTCAGGTCGGCTGCTCGTTTCCGCGGCGTGGCTTTTTTTCTTTTATTTTGCCTGGAAACTTCCGCAGTGTGGCATTACGCTTTTATTTAACCACACGGGGGAGTCACCGGTCAGATCTGTGGAGAATCGATCCATCACAGTCAGACATTTGAAGTTTGTAGAAGGATCTGTTTAATGCCACACTGCGGAACATTCCAGAGGACGCAGTTCTCGCCTCACTGGAGGCAAGCAGGTCTAAACCAGAACTAAACCAGGACTAAACCAGGACTAAACCAGGACTAAACCAGGTCTAAACCAGGTCTAAACCGGTTCTAGACCAGGACTAGACCAGGACTGAACCAGGACTAAACCAGGACTAAACCGGTTCTAGACCAGGACTAGACCAGAACTGAACCAGGACAAAAACCAGGACTAAACCAGGTCTAAACCAGGACTAAACCAGAACTAAACCAGAACTAAACCAGGTCTATACCGGTTCTAGACCAGGACTAGACCAGGACTAGACCAGGACTAAACCAGGTCTAAACCAGAACTAAACCAGAACTAAACCAGGACTAAACCAGGACTAAACCAGGTCTAAACCAGGTCTAAACTGGTTCTAGACCAGGACTAGACCAGGAGTGAACCAGGACTGAACCAGGCCTAAACCAGGCCTAAACCAGGTCTAAACCAGGTCTAAACCGGTTCTAGACCAGGACTAGACCAGGACTAGACCAGGACTGAACCAGGACTGAACCAGGACTAAACCAGGTCTAAACCAGATCTAAACCAGGCCTAAACCAGATCTAAACCAGAACTAAACCAGGACTAAACCAGGACTAAACCAGGTCTAAAGCAGAACTAAACCGGGTCTAATCCAGGTCAGCTGCTTGTCTCCATGGCGATGTTGGTTCTTGCTGGTTCCTGGTCAGATCTGTGGAGAATCGATCCCTCACGGTCACAAGTTTGAAGTTTCTGGAAGGATCTGTTTAATGCCACACTGCGGAACATTCCTCACCCCTCAGTCCTCACGTCCCCGGAGCCGAGCGGGCGAAAAGTGACGCGGCGCGGCTTTAACTCGTCTCCGGGATCGTCCCGTTTGACCCTGTACGTCCAGAGAGCTCCTCCAAACCCCGAGACTATCTACAAACGTTCGCGTCTGTTTCTCTCTTCTTTTTTTTTTTTTTTTTCTCGTAAATAAAAACGTAAAACAGCACCACACTGAGCATGTGCAAACTCCAGCTGTCGCCCGTCCTCGTGATTGTAAGAAACTTTTGTACAAAAACGCAGCTCACTTCGGTAAAAACGCCCAAACTCACGGTTAAGAAATTGCATATTCCCCAAAGCGAAACGAATCATGCGAATATTGCTGACGCTAAAACCCACGACACGACTCAAAACGGCGGATTGTCTCCTTCTTTTCCATTGGTCTTTTCTCAAATAAAACACAAATAAAAAACCAAACAAAGCACCGTAGAAACCATTGGCACGTTTCATTTGACACTGAACACGAGTTAGAGTCTGTGTGGATAAAAAAATGCCTCTGCTTCTCTTTTGGCTTTTGCCCGTCGTCGTTTTTTTTGTTTTTTTTCTGGGTTTTAAATAAATGTAAATGTGACTGAGCGTAAAGTTCTGGATGTAAACGTCGAGACGCCGCAGCGGCTTTGGAAATGTACAAAATGTTAAAGCATGAAAAAAACAGATAGAAAAGTTTACAGAAAGACTGAGACCACAGACCAGGACTAAACCAGGACTAAACCAGGACTAAACCAGGACTAAACCAGGTCTAAACCAGGTCTAAACCGGGTCTAAACCGGGTCTAAACCGGGTCTAAAACCGGGTCTAAAACCGGGACTAAACCAGGTCTGAACTTGGTCTAAACTTGATGTAAACCAGGTCTAAACCAGGTCTAAACCAGGACTAAACCAGGACTAAACCAGGTTCTAAACCAGGTCTAAACCAGGTCTAAACCGGGTCTAAACCAGGTCTAAACCAGGACTAAACCAGGTCTAAACCAGGTCTAAACCAGGACTAAACCAGGACTAAACCAGGTCTGAACTTGGTCTAAACTTGATGTAAACCAGGTCTAAACCAGGTCTAAACCAGGACTAAACCAGGACTAAACCAGGTCTGAACTTGGTCTAAACTTGGTGTAAACCTAGACTAAACCAGTTCTAAACCTGGTCTAAACTTGGTCTAAACCAGGTCTAAACCAGGTCTAAACCAGGTCTAAACCAGGTCTAAACCAGGTCTAAACCAGGTCTAAACCAGGTCTAAACCAGGTCTAAACCAGGTCTAAACCAGGTCTGGTGTAAACCAGGTCTAAACTTGGTCTAAACCAGGTCTAAACCAGGTCTAAACCAGGTCTAAACCAGGTCTAAACCAGGTCTAAACCAGGTCTAAACCAGGTCTAAACCAGGTCTAAACCAGGTCTCATTAGTCCCGTTAGTCCTGCTCTCAGACGCAGCCTGACTGTAAAAGAGAAACTGGACCCCACAGACCCCAGAGCCTCCAGAGACGTGCGAGTCCCTGTGCTCTCCTGCGGGGGCGCTACACCAGAGAGAGGACGAGTCAGATCTGTGGAGTGGACACCTCTGCCGGGCCCAGACAGCGCCACCTGGTGACAGAAACGTGATCTGACTCACGCAAACACGGGCGCGAGAGCAAGTCCAAAGCACCCGCCCGTTATTTTAACAAGAAGAAATGATAAACATGATCCAGGAATCGGGATGTAACGATCTCCAAATCTCTCTGTACGATATTATCACGATATTCATCTCACGGTACGATATTTATTGCGATATTTTGGAGATGGGACACTTTTGTTACTTTTTAAAATACCTTGACAAGATTTTGGTGTGAATTATTTCCATCATAATCCCAAGAATTCAAGTAAAAATCATATTTCTTCATGTTGTCTGCGCTGAAATGCATCATGGGAAATGGAGTTCCCGATGTTTTTAAGATGTTATTATAAAACCATGAATTTAAGCAAAGAAACTTCTAATTCGATGTATATTTTATGATTCCACGATTTTATTGTGAGACTTTTGACGATACAATATCCCGATATTTTGGTCATTGTTACATCACTATTGAGGAATAAATTAATTCGCCTTTAAAATCTGAATAAACCACCATTTACTTTGGAATTAAGTTTGATTCCGAATTATCAGTGGGTCCAGTCAAGCAGAAGTTAATGCATCTGATATAAAACTGTATTGAACAGATACATATGTACTCGAGTTTATGAAACTGTTGACCTTTTTCTTGTTCCATTTTTGGTTCTAAAGTTCCATCTGTTTTAAACAGACCATGTATGAAACATGGAACAAAAATTATTTCCCAAATTTCAAAGACCTGCAAATCATGGAAATCAGGGGTGGGCAAACTTTTTGGCTCGCGGGCCACACACGGTCCTAAAGTTTGACTGAAGGGCCAGACAGAAGACACGACATAAAGTATTAAGAGCTCTGCTTCATTATGTTCATATTCACGCTACTGCAGACGTGATCTACACGTTTCAACACTACCGTAAAAGAGTCAGAACACACAGAAGTACACAGATCTGTTCCATTCCACACACTGGAGAAAGAAGATCGAGGCCTCAGTGTTTTCAAATCACATCATAAATAGTTCGGCTCGTGCCAAGAGACACACTTTTACTCCTGCAAATTCAAATACAACATGACTCCGTCAAATTGTTTGTATTGATAATCATAATTGAAAAGTATAAAGGTTTACAGTGTTTTACTTTTACTAACTCAATATAGAAGCAGTGCAGTCTTATGTCTTTAACACCACTACTTCACTCATGGTCCGAATAACTCCTGTAAGAACACTTTCCCATAAAGCATTGCGGCCAACATAATACGCCGCAACTCAATGTATATATAGTGCGCCATCTACTGGGAAACGCCGGAAATACATGACAAATAAAACAACAAGGTTTATTATTGTAATTTATTCCAGTTCAGCGGCCGGATTAAAAGGTTTAAAGGGCCGCAGTTTGCCCACCCCTATTGAAAATAAATGGATGTATTTCATCATATCTTGTGTTATTCCATCTTTGAACTGATGATGAAGGTACATGATTTTTTTTATTTTTTTTTATTTTTTAAAATGATAAAAATTTGCTTGGAAGAACTGACATATTTTATAGAAATAGTTTTCTTTCATTTTGAAGTAATATTAAAGTATTTGGAAGAAAAAAGCGACAAATTATGCAAAATCATGCACCTTCTACTTGTTTGTACAATTTTCCCTCCGTTACCATGACCTTTCTTAATAAAAAATCTCATTAGTTAAAAAGTAAGAAGTTTTTCATCCTAATCTTGTACCATATGGTAGAAAACTATATAAAGCAAATATTCAAATATTTAAAATATTTGTTAAGGATATGTAAGTGAGAACAGTTATCACTGTTTGTATTTATTGCCCAAAAAGTGCTGCATATTTCATTCCCTCTGTTACTGACATGAGTTTTTAAATTTTTTGTCAACAACTTGAAAGAATCTCACAGGTTTAACTTGACCCTGTTGGAGTGTAACTCTTTCCTACATTCTGATACTTTACTTATTTCAATAGTTCCTCTAGTTTCTGAATAAGAGACATTTGAATGTCAAAAATCTGACCCTGTTTCCCTACGTTACCACTTGACCGGACCCCATTTTGATTAGGAATTAAGTGTTTACATGGACTTTTTAAAGAGGAATTTTTTTTTTTTTTTCAAATTGGGAATTAAAATTCTCATGTAAATGTGGTAAATAATGATCTAAAACAACGTCATAAAGTTAGAAAAATTGTGGACTAAACCAGGACTAAACCAAGCTGTGGTCCCTCCTCCTCCTGCACGTCACACTAGAGCGTTTCTTTTTTTTAAAATATGGACCAAAACAATGGTGTGACGCTAAATCCTTCGATTACCACCCATGAAGAACATCAAACTGGAGAAGGAAAACATTTGTGTTTGTGGCTTTGCTCCTTCACGTGTCGTTTTAACGTCGTGGTCAGATCACGTTTCTCGAACTCGCTACAGGATTGTCTTCTTTTTAAGTGCTCTTTCTCTTTGAGAAGCTTTGGCTCGTCTCTTTGAACGGGCCGTGACTTTGCCGCTGGTCTCTTGTGTTTTCATGTGATCTTACAGTCCCAACATGGCCGCCGGTGTGCAGGGGGGCCTCTGGGGTGTCCACTCTAGAGGTCTGTTCACCGCACTGAAAAAAACACCATCTCAAAGAAGATCACGTCAGGAGAATTCAGACTGACCTGGACTTCAGCAGGTTTTCTAAAGACGATCGCCGAGAAAATAAAGGATTTTCAACACCTTTTAGTTTTAAAGGTTGTGTAGAGGATTTTCCAAGGAAAGAGAAACACAGCGACTGTTTGTCCTTTTTCAAATGTTGCTCCAGCGTGACACCCCCACCCTCCTCTTTACTCTAGAAATCAGCTCGTTTACAGCCGCTGCACGTGAACGAGTCGCTGAACGAACTGATGTTGAAGTTTCCTGTCCAGAAGTAATTTATCGACAAACACGTGTCAGTCTTTAGAACCTTCGTCTGCTTCAGTCGCGCCATAGCTGGAAAAAAACAAAAATTTTCTTCTTTATTTGTTACCAAAACAAAAATGAAAAAACCAACAACAAAAAAAACAGATAAACATTTGTTTTCAGTTTTCAATTTTGCATTTAAATGAAGAATGGAAAAAACTAATAACGACCATTTCCCGTTTACATTACTTAAACTGTGATGCCGGACTAAACCAGGTCTAAACCAGGACTAAACCAGGTCTAAACCAGGACTAAACCAGGACTGAGACTGGGACCAAGACCAGGATTGAGGCCAGTTTAGTCCTGGTTTAGTCCTGGTTCAGTCCATTATCTGTTTTTTTCCATTTTTCATTTAAACACAAAATCAAAAACTAAAAAACCAAATCATTATCTGTTTTTTCGTTTTGGTTTTGGAGACAAATAATGAAGAAAACTGTTGTTTTTTTCGTTTTCTTATTTTTGGTTTTATTGGTTCAAAAGACTTGAAAAGATCGACTTTGACGATAGACGCATCTCGTGGAGGTTTGATGCTCACTTTTTTCGGAGAGTCCTTCCCAGTATGAACGATGCACGATGACCTGAAGTCCGAAATTCGTGACGCATGTGTTTGAACCTAAAAAAAATCCTCTGTACAACCTTTAAACGTGTGAATGACCTGTTGTTTGTTGTTGTATTTCCCGGACACACTCAGTTTTATTTGTACCGTTCCTGGGTTTTATAGACGCTCTGTCGCTCTGTCGTCTTGTTTGAGATCGTGTTTAGCTCAGTGCTTGGAGGCTACACGTGCGCGCCCGCTCTCCTGCAGGGGGCGCTACACCTGGATGCCCTGCACGGCCTGGCGGATGCTCTCCAGCAGAGCCTTGTTCTCCGGGCTGGTGCAGTACTGGTCGTGGTGCGTGTACATGTCCGTCAGGGTGCTCACGTACGCGTCGAAGTTCTGCTCGCTCATCGGCTCCTGGAACAAAAACAACAACAACAAAAAAAACACGTCAGGTTTTTGTTCGTCAAAAGCTTTTCCCCGTGGAGATGTTTTTGCTTTGTCTGGAATGTTCCATCCAGGCAGCAGCCTAAGCAGGGACTCCCAGACTTCCTTCACCCCAGACACGTCCTCCAGCTCCTCTGTGGGAACCCCAAGGTGTTCCCAGGCCAGCCGAGAGTCATAGTCCCTCCAGTGTGTCCTGGGTCTTCCCTGGTCCCTCCTCCTGGTGGGACATGAACACCTCCTGAGGGAGACACCCAGGAGGCATCCGGAACAGATGCCCGAGCCAACTCAACTGGCTCCTCTCAACGTGGAGGAGCAGCGGCTCTACTCCAAGCTCCTCCCGCGTGACTGAGCTCCTCACCCTATCTCTAAGGGAGCGCCCAGCCACCCTGCGTCTGGAATGTTCCACACTACGGAATTAAACCTTTCTATCTATATGGAGACCAAACCAGACCAAGTTCCAGGTCACAAAACCAACGAGGCGGGAGCGAGCACACAGAAGGCAAACAAGAGAAGTGGCGAAATCAGAATTCAGGAGGCTCCAGGAGGTCGATGATGTTCAAAAGTCTCGTCTGTACAAAAAGCCTCTTCAGATAAAAACATTTTCAAACAAATCTAATGAAGAGCAGGTTTCTCTGAAGGACACATGCAGCTCCAGGACGAGACCAGGGTCAAAGAGCTCAGAGGAGGAAACCAACCAGGGACCAGGGACTAGACCAGGTACCACCAGACCAGGGACCAGACCAGGGACCAGACCAGGGACCAGACCAAGGACCAGGGCAGAGGGGTCTGTGGGATGCAGGGGATCTATGGGATTTGTCTCTGGGGGTGCAGGAGGCTCAGGGGGCTCATGGGGTGCAGGGGGTGCAGGAGGGTCAGTGGGTGGTCTGTGTGGGGTCAGTGGGGGGTCTGTAGGGTCTGTGGCAGGGACAGAAAGGCTCTTACTGTGAAACTGCAGAGTGTCTGTGAGGCAGGAGCCGCTCTCTGAGGACACACACCACACACTCATCAAACGACACATCGGCCAAGAAGGAAAATATCGACCAGCATGTGTTTTATTTTGTTATATGATGTTATTGTGAAACGCAGCAGAAAAAAGCCTCAGTTCAGTTGATGGTGAATGAGTTTAATCCTCTGTGTGGCAGTTGTATGTTGGTCTTAGATGTGTGTGTGTTCTTTACCATGTGTGGCAGTTGTATGTTGGCAAGGCTGGAGATCAGCGTCTGGCTCAGATTGGCCAGTTCGTGCAGCAGAGAGTCGTTCTGTTGTTCGATCACTTTGTTCTCCTCCTCCAGAGACTTCAGGCTGGACTCCATCGTCGTGATCTGCACAGAAGACCATACAGGTGTTCAGAACATACAAGTGTTCAGATTTCAGGTACATGCAGGCGTACAGGTGAATAAACAGGTGATGTTGAGCTGCACCTGAGGTCTGGATTTGATCATTTGTTCAGATCTGAGAGTTGCATACAGGTGTACACGCAGGTGTTCAGGTGTACATGCAGGTGTTCGGGTGTACATGCAGGTGTTCAGGTGTACTTGCGGGTGTACATGCAGGTGTTCGGGTGTACCTGCATGTGTACATGCAGGTGTTCGGGTGTACATGCAGGTGTACATGCAGGTGTTCGGGTGTACATGCAGGTGTACAGCAGGTGTTCGGGTGTACATGCAGGTGTTCGGGTGTACATGCAGGTGTTCGGGTGTGTACATGCAGGTGTACCTGCAGGTGTTCGGGTGTACATGCAGGTGTACATGCAGGTGTACATGCAGGTGTTCGGGTGTACATGCAGGTGTACCAGGTGTACAGCAGGTGTTCGGGTGTACATGCAGGTGTACATGCAGGTGTTCGGGTGTACATGCAGGTGTACCTGCAGGTGTTCGGGTGTACATGCAGGTGTACATGCAGGTGTACATGCAGATGCAGGTGTACATGCAGGTGTACATGCAGGTGTTCGGGTGTACATTGCAGGTGTACTTGCAGGTGTACTTGCAGGTGTACATGCAGGGTGTACTTGCAGGTGTACATGCAGGTGTTCGGGTGTACTTGCAGGTGTACTTGCAGGTGTTCAGGTGTACTTGCAGGTGTACTTGCAGGTGTTCAGTACCTGAGTCCTGAGTTTGATCATGTCCGACTCCACGCGGCTGTTGGACTCGTTCAGATCTTTGATTTCTTCATCGAGCTGTTTGATCTCCTCATCGTTCTCGATCCCTGACGCACAAACACCACAGTACAGAGAGAGTGTGTGTCTGTGTGTATGTTATGTGTTGTGTGTGTGTTGTGTGTGTGTATGTTGTGTGTTGTGTGTTGTGTGTGTTGTGTATGTTGTATGTTGTGTGTATGTTATGTGTTGTGTGTGTGTTGTGTGTGTGTATTGTGTGGTGTATGTTGTGTGTGTTGTGTATGTTGTGTGTATGTTGTATGTATGTTGTGTGTTGTGTGTTGTGTATGTTGTGTGTTGTGTGTGTTGTGTTGTGTGTTGTGTGTTTGCTCAGACCTTTAGCCGCTCTCTGCTTCAGCGTCATCATGTCCATCCCACTGAGTCTGGATTTCTTCATGGCCGACGAGGCGCGAGGGCATCCGGACAAACTGAGAGACAGGAGCAGACAGGGGCAAACTGAGAGACAGGAGCAGACAGGGGCAAACTGAGAGACAGGAGCAGACAGGGGCAAACTCAGAGACAGAACATGTGAGACAGGATCCTGATCAGGATCTTGGTGGAATGGACCTTATCTGTGGTTATCATGAGAACTTGAGTGAGGGACCCGTCTGCTGTGAGTGAGGGACCTGTCTGTTGTGAGTGAGGGACCTGTCTGCTGTGAGTGAGGGACCCGTCTGCTGTGAGTGAGGGACCTGTCTGCTGTGAGTGAGGGACCCGCCTGTTGTGAGAGAGAGGGACCCACCTGCGGTGAGTGAGGAAGCTGCCGCTGACGTGACCGGAGCCGTCGCATCCCGGCGTGGGGCAGCTCATCCCGTCGGTTTTCCCGGATTTCCAGCTGAACTGAGCTCCGTTCATGTAACTGTCCTTCTGGCGTTTGGCCGCCAGGGGGCACCCTGACGCGCTGCGGTGAGACGCGTACTTCCCCGTCACGTGACCCTGTCCGTCACAGCCCGGGACTGGACACCTGCGGGGTCAGAGGTCAGAGCAGCTGAAGGGTCAGAGGTCAGAGAAATGGAGGTCGCCACACGGTCTCCAGGGCCGAGAGGAGGGGGCGGGGTTAAGGGGGCGGGGTTAGGGGTTAGGGGGCAGGTCTTACTTGATTGGCTCCTGGTCGTCCTTGTCTTCTTTGTGGAAGATCTTGAGGCCGCTCTTTTTGGCTCGGGGACATCCGGACAAACTGAGACACAGACACAGAACTAAACCTGAGTAAAGACCCCAGGTTCTACATGTATGTCTATGGTAGAATGTTCAGCTGTTACCATGGAGACATTAACAACACACACATTAGTAAACACAGCCAAAATTTTTTTTTTAAATAGTCAAAACTCTTAAAAGTTGAAACCAAATCCAGACCATCTTTGTCATTTTCTACATTTGTTTGTGTTTTACAGATATTTTGGCACAAATATGTCAATGTTTTTATAAATCTCCATTTGATCTGATTCATGTTCATTTAGGTCTAAAATAAAACCAACTGTTCTGCAATGAAACACTCTGCCCATTTTTTAAACCCTCACCCACAGTTTGAGAACCTCTTCTTTAAGAGAACCACTGACACTTTACACCAGGGGTGGGCAAACTACGGCCTAGGGGCCATATGCGGCCCTTTAAACCTTTTAATCCGGCCCGCCAAACTGGAATAAATGAGTGCGTTTACATGCACATCAATAACCCGGTTATGATCGGGTTTTTTGAGTATCCCGGTTCCTTGATGGTGCATGTAAACGCAGTAACCCGGTTTCAGTAACCCGGTTATGGCAGTATCCCGGTTATTAGAAACCGGGTTACTGTAGCTGGTTTATTCCGATAGTAACCGGGATACTTGTGGCATGTATACGCAGTATCCCGGTTACTGCAACATAAAGTTGAGTCACATGCGTCCAAAAGACACTTTCCAGCCTTTCACCACAACAGTAGTGACATAAATAAATTGACCAACATAAATAAAGTGACCAAACGAGTGAAATGACTGTAAAAAGCTGCGCTAAACCTGCACACGCGCGACCTGCACTCGTGCGATACATGAACTATCTCCTATACTCTATACGCACGGAACACACTTACCATCATTAGTGCCTCTTCTGTCACAGAAATAACACACATAATCCACAGAGTCGTGTCATTTAGTCCAAAAGAAACTGATCGCATCAGCGGCGCAAGGAGCGAGTTGTTTTTATCGCCGCTAACAGTTTATGCTAATTAGCCTACGGTCTTAAGTTTCGTTTCTGTAAAACGTAAACAAATGTGATCAGAGCTGAATGATCTGATCAAACGGGCTGATGTGTCTATAGTGTTTATGGTTTAAAGTTGAGTTTATTTATGCAGAAGATTTGAATGAAGAATCTGCGCAGTGGATTGTGGGAGATCTCGTAGCTCCTTAGCTTCTTATGCTAAAGGAGCTCACGGTTTGTATTTTTCATTGTTTATGAAATTGATTTAAGTTAATTTTTGCGCCTGCGCATTTGTAAGATTATGTCAAGAAACCGGGATACTCCATTTGATCATGTACACGCGGATATGAGTGTCCCGGTTTCTCAGTGCGCATGTGTACGCAGTAACACGAATACTCACATAACCGGGATATGGCTAATAACCGGGTTATTGATGTGCATGTATACGCACTCAATTACAATAATAAACCTTGTTTATGTTTTATTTGTCATGCATTTCTGGCGTTTCCCAGTAGATGGCGCACTATATATACATTGAGGTGCGGCGCCGCAATGCTTTATGGGAAAGTGTTCTTACAGGAGTTATTGGGACCATGAGTGAAGTAGTGGTGTTCAAGATATAAGACTGCACTGCTTCATTTTCACATTGGTAAAAGTTAAACATAGAAAACTTATGGACTTCATATTGTCATTGTCAATGCACAGAACATCGTAGAGTTCAGTTTTACTGTTCACACAGGTGAATGTGTGATTGTACAATGTGAGCTCTGCCTTCAAGCTTTATAACAGTCAGACTTGAAAATTGAAAGCTCACGATTTGTGTTCACCTGTGGTGTGCAGTGGAACTATGTACTTTTGTCTATGTTGAATAATTCATAGCAACGTTAAAGTGCGTCTGAAGTCCTACATAAGCGTGAATATGAATGTAACGAAGCTGAGCTCTTAACACGATATGTCTTGTCTTCTGTCCGGCCCTTCAGTCAAACTTTAGGACTCTATGTGGCCCGCGAGCCAAAAAGTTTGCACACCAAACTGGGAAGAAAGTGTGTAGGATTTTAAACCTGTTTTGTCAAGTTTCTAACTGGAGTTTTATTTTCTTAGTGGTTTAACAGTTTTACCAAAACAACGCATATGACAAACACAGATGCATCTGTGCACTTTTATCAGGCAAACTGAAAACCACCTGTGGCTGTAGGTCTGTGCTGGAACAGAAATTTAGATTAGTTTTTACTTCATGTTTCATCTTGTTCTTCAGCGCAAACTGAGGAGGAGCCTGTACGAGGGGAGGAACGAGCGCGAAAAGACGAGGAACGAGCGTGAAAAGACGAGGAAGTTTTAAGAAGTTTATTCTACCCTGTGATACTTGCTGATGCATGAGGACACAGTGTTGTGGACACAGAGTTGTCACACTGAGGGGAATGTTTGTGTGGTGACGTCCCACACAGTGTCCGCGGGCTCCCGACGAGAGACGCCCCGCGCTCCCGACGACGGGCCACGCCCCGCGCTCCCGACGGGCCACGCCCCGCGCTCGTTCCGCGCTCCCACACACATCTACAAGTTTACTGCCAACAATAGTGGCCATAATGAAATGATCACACGCAACGAGAGTCAGACATCAAGTCTGAGACAAGACCGAGTCCAAACGCCTTCAAGTTCGAGACAAGACTGAGTCCAAACGCCTTCAAGTTCGAGACAAGACCGAGTCCAAACGCCTTCAAGTCCGAGACAAGACTGAGTCGAAGCACGCTCGAATCCGAGAGCAACCAAGACTGTAAAAAAACAGTCTTTGAGGCCGGTCTCGAATACTACGACTCTGTCGGCTGCACATTTGTTGAGTTCGTCTCTGTCCGTGTAAATAAACCAAAAAAACAGTTGTGTCGTGTTAAATAAGGACAGTAGGGGGCGCACCTGCGGTGAGACGCATAGTTCCCCGTGATGTGTCCAGACCCGTCACAGCCCGGAGTGGGACACCTGGAAATACACAGAGAGAGGGACTGAACCAGGACCAAATGGAAACACTTTTACCTGGAGGTTTTAAACTCACCTGAGCTCCTGAGAACTGGACGACAGGAGACTCCTCTGGACTTTGTCTCCAATCTGACAACTGGACAGACTGCAGCAGAGAGACAGGGTTAGACCAGGACTAAACCAGGACTAAACAGGACTAAACCAGGACTAAACCAGGACTAGACCAGGACTAAACCAGGACTAAACCAGGACTAAACCAGGGTCTGTGGGTCCCTGGGTCTGACTCATAGACCATTTATATAATTGGATATATCTAACGCTCTCGCCGCCTGTGACCTGAGCTGTGACCTGAGCTGTGACCTGAGCTGTGACCTGAGCTGTGACCTGAGCTGTGGATCCTGATGTTTTCATTTCTCTGTTTCGTCCCTAAATCCAGATCTGAACACAAATAACGGACCAATCAGACGCCTTCATTCCCCGAGGCCCCTCCCACTGGTCTTAGCAACAGGTTTGACTGACAGCTCGTTCGTTCCTCCCCTTTCTTTCCGGTGAGGGGGCGGGACATTTAACCTCCTCACTCATGATTGGCTGTTGTGTTGCTATGAGACTCGCGGGCGGATTTACAAACCCGGAGCCTGTAACCGCGGCAACGGGTGCATCGTCTGACCTGAAGTCTGTGGAGACCCGTGTGTTTGAGTTGCGAGTCTGGTCCTGACCTGAGCAGCTCCTTCTTGGGCTCTTTGCAGCTGAACCGGTGTTTGGATCCCGGGAGCATCTCACCGGAAAAACGACTCTCCTCCATCAAATCCCCGAACGGATCCAAGTCCTCAGTCTGGAACAACAACAGGACTGAACCAGGACTGAACCAGGACTAAACCAGGAATAAACCAGGACTAAACTAGGACTGAACCAGGACTGAACCAGGACTAAACTAGGACTGAACCAGGACTAAACAAGGACTAAACCAGGTCTGAACCAGGACTGAACCAGGTCTATATCTTGACTAAACCACGACTAAACCAGGACTGAACCAGGTCTAAACAAGGACTAAACCAGGACTGAACCAGGACTAAACTAGGAATGAACCAGGACTGAACCAGGACTGAACCAGGACTGAACCAGGACTAAACCAGGACTAAACCCAGACTAAACTAGGACTGAACCAGGACTAAACAAGGACTAAACCTGGACTGAACCAGGACTGAACCAGGACTGAACCAGGACTGAACTAGGACTGAACCAGGACTAAACAAGGACTAAACCAGGACTGAACCAGGACTAAACTAGGACTGAACCAGGTCTGAACTAGGACTGAACCAGGACTAAACAAGGACTAAACCAGGACTGAACCAGGACTAAACAAGGACTAAACCAGGTCTGAACCAGGACTGAACCAGGTCTATATCTTGACTAAACCACGACTAAACCAGGACTGAACCAGGTCTAAACAAGGACTAAACCAGGACTAAACCAGGACTAAACCTGGACTAAACTAGGACAGAACCAGGATTAAACCCAGACTAAACTAGGACTGAATCTTGACTAAACCAGGACTAAACCAGGACTGAACCAGGACTAAACCAGGTCTAAACCAGGACTAAACCAGGACTAAACCAGGACTAAACCAGGACTAAACCAGGACTAAACCAGGACTAGACCAGGACTAAACCAGGACTAAACCAGGACTAAACCAGGGTCTGAACTAGGACTAAACCTGGACTAAACCAGGACCGAACCAGATCTAAACCAGGTCTGAACCAGGACTGAACCAAGTCTGAACTAGGACTAAACCCGGACTAAACCCGGACTGAACCAGGACTAAACCAGGACTAAACTAGGACTAAACCAGGTCTAAATCTTGACTAAAAAACCAGGACTGAACCCCAGGACTAAACCAAGACTAAACCAAGACTAAACCAGGTCTACCCTCGGTCTAGTCCCGGTCTGGTACCTCCTTGTCGGTCTTGATCTTGGTGTAGTCCAGGGGCAGGTCCCAGGGGGCCGGGTCCAGGCCGTAGCAGCGCTCGCGGTGCAGGGCCTGGCGCTGGGGGGACATGGGCTGGAGGGGGGTCAGGACGGTCCCGCTGCCCTCGGGTCCCTCGGGTCCCTCAGGAGCCCCCCTCAGGCCCCCCACGTCCAGAGACACGCTGTCCTCAGGGTCCCCCACCGGGCTCTGAGGGGACACGGGAGACAGGGGGGACAGGGGAGACAGGGGGACAGGGGGGACAGGGGACAGGGGGGACAGGGGAGACAGGGGGGACAGGGGAGACAGGGGAGACAGGGGAGACAGGGGGACAAGGGGGACACAGGGGGACAGGGGAGGACAGGGGGGACAGGGGGGACAGGGGGGAGACAGGGGAGACAGGGGGGACAGGGGAGGGGACAGGGGAGACAGGGGGACAGGGGAGACAGGGGAGACAGGGGGACACAGGGGGGAGACAGGGGAGACAGGGAGACAGGGGGGACAAGGGGACACAGGGGACAGGGGGGACAGGGGGGACAGGGGAGACAAGGGGAGACGGGGGGGACGGGGGGGACAGGGGGACAGGGGGGACAGGGGGACAGGGGAGACAGGGGAGACAGGGGGGACAGGGGAGACACAGGGGGGACACAGGGGGGACAGGGGAGACAGGGGAGACAGGGGGACAGGGGGGACAGGGGGGACAGGGGAGACAGGGGAGACAGGGGGGACAGGGGAGACAGGGGGGGGGGACACGGGAAACAGGGGAGACAGGGGGGACAGGGGAGACAGGGGAGACAGGGGAGACAGGGGGGACAGGGGAGACAGGGGGACAGGGGGGGGACAGGGGGGACAGGGGGGACAGGGGAGACAGGGGAGAGACAGGGGAGACGGGGGGGGGACGGGGGGGGGACACGGGGGGGACACGGGGGGGTTACCGGTGTGAGTTGTGTGTGCTCGGCCCGGCAGCGTGTGGACAGGTGTGTGTATGTGTGTGTGTGTGTTGTGTATAGTTGTGTGTGTGTTGTTGTGTGTTGTTGTGTGTTTTGTGTGTGTTTGTGTGTGTGTGTGTGTTGTGTGTGTGTGTTGTTGTGTGTGTGTGTTGTATAGTTGTGTGTGTGTTGTTGTGTGTGTTGTATAGTTGTGTGTGTGTTGTGTGTGTTGTTGTGTGTGTGTGTTGTATAGTTGTGTGTGTGTTGTGTGTGTGTGTGTTGTGTATAGTTGTGTGTGTTGTTGTGTGTGTTGTATAGTTGTGTGTTGTGTGTGTGTGTTGTGTATAGTTGTATAGGTGTGTGTGTGTTGTGTGCGTTGTATAGTTGTGTGTGTGTTGTGTTGTATAGTTGTGTGTTGTGTGTGTGTGTGTTGTATAGTTGTGTGTGTGTTGTGTTGTATAGTTGTGTGTGTGTGTGTTGTGTGTGTGTGTGTGTGTGTATAGTTGTGTGTGTGTTGTGTTGTGTGTGTTGTGTGTGTGTGTGTTGTATAGTTGTGTGTGTTGTTGTGTGTATGTGTGTGTTGTTGTGTGTGTGTTGTGTGTGTGTGTGTGTGTGTGTGTGTGTGTGTGTGTGTGTGTGTGTGTGTTGTGTGTGTGTGTGTGTGTGTGTGTGTGTGTGTGTTGTGTGTGTGTGTGTGTGTGTGTGTGTGTGTGTGTGTGTGTGTGTTGTGTGTGTGTGTGTGTGTGTGTGTGTGTTGTGTGTGTGTGTGTGTGTGTGTGTGTGTGTGTGTGTGTGTGTGTTGTGTACCTGTGTGAGTCGTGCGTGCTCGGCCCTGCAACGCGTCGACAGGTTGAGGATGGCGGTGGTGTGTGTGTGTGTGTGTGTTGTGTGTGTGTGTGTGTGTGTGTGTGTGTGTGTGTGTGTGTGTGTGTGTGTGTGTGTGTGTGTGTGTGTGTGTGTGTGTGTGTGTGTGTGTGTGTGTGTGTGTGTGTGTTGTGTGTGTGTGTGTGTTGTGTGTGTGTGTGTGTGTGTGTGTGTGTGTGTGTGTGTGTGTTGTGTGTGTGTGTGTGTGTGTGTGTGTGTGTTGTGTGTTGTGTGTGTGTGTGTGTGTGTGTGTTGTGTGTTGTGTGTGTGTGTGTGTTGTTGTGTGTGTGTGTGTGTGTGTGTGTGTGTGTTGTGTTGTGTGTGTGTGTGTGTGTTGTGTGTGTGTGTGTTGTGTGTGTGTGTGTTGTGTGTGTGTGTTGTGTACCTGTGTGAGTCGTGCGTGCTCGGCCCTGCAGCGCGTCGACAGGTTGAGGATGGCGGTGGTGTGTGTGTTGTGTGTGTTGTTGTGTGTGTGTGTGTGTGGTGTGTTGTGTGTGTTGTTGTGTGTGTGTTGTTGTGTTGTGTTGTGTACCTGTGTGAGTCGTGCGTGCTCGGCCCTGCAGCGCGTCGACAGGTTGAGGATGGCGGTGGCGTGTGTGTGTGTGTTGTGTATAGTTGTGTGTGTTGTGTGTTGTTGTGTGTGTTGTGTGTGTGTGTTGTGTGTGTGTTGTGTACCTGTGTGAGTCGTGCGTGCTCGGCCCTGCAGCGCGTCGACAGGTTGAGGATGGCGGTGGCGTGTGTGGTGTGTGTGTGTTGTGTGTGTGTGTGTTGTGTGTGGTGTGTGTGTTGTTGTGTGTGTTGTGTGTGTGTTGTTCTGTGTGTGTGTTGTGTGTGTTGTGTACCTGTGTGAGTCGTGCCGTGCTCGGCCCTGCAGCGCGTCGACAGGTTGAGGATGGCGGTGGCGTGTGTGGTGTTGTTGTGTTGTTGTGTGTGTGTGTGTGTGTGTGTGTGTGTGTTGTGTGTGTGTTGTGTGTGTGTGTGTTGTTCTGTGTGTGTGTTGTGTGTGTTGTGTACCTGTGTGAGTCGTGCGTGCTCGGCCCTGCAGCGCGTCGACAGGTTGAGGATGGCGGTGGCGGCCATGTGCGCCGCCTCCATGTCGTGGTTGTAGTCGAAGCTGCTCTTGCTGCAGGTGGAGCTGGCGCTGGACGAGGTGGACGGGGCGTAGGAGCTGGACGGGCTGGAGCGGCCCAGACGACGCACTGGACGACAACGACAAAAACACAAACAACAACACAAACCTGAGCGGAGGAGGCGTCACGACTCACAGCAAGAAGGTTCTGGGTTCAATTCCCGGGTCTTTATGCATGTTCTCCCTATGTCTGTTTCCTGGTCCTGATCCGGTCCTGGTCTGGTCCTGGTCTGGTCCTGGTCTGGTCCTGGTCCTGGTCTGGTCCTGGTCTGGTCCTGGTTTAGTCCTGGTCTGGTCCTGGTCTGGTCCTGGTCTGGTCCTGTTTCAGTCCTGGTCTGGTCCTGGTATAGTCCTGGTCTGGTCCTGGTCTGGTCCTGTTTCAGTCCTGGTCTGGTCCTGGTATAGTCCTGGTCTGGTCCTGGTCTGGTCCTGTTTCAGTCCTGGTCCTGGCTCTTTCACTTCACTAGTTTGATTATTTGTTCAGTAAAACATTTCTTCTGTGTCCCAGACTCCAGTTTGTTCTTTTCACACCAAACAAACCAAACCTGGTCCCACTGACGTTTATCCAAGTGTCCTGCACACAGCAGGTTCTACTCATGGATCTGTTCAAATATCTGGAGGATGTTGCTTGTTTCTGTCTCCAGTTGTCGTAGTGTCACTCACTGGAACTTCAGCTGAAAAAAATCCCCTGGGCCGAGACAAGATTTTTCTCATAGAGGCAGTGTAATGACAAACTGCTGGTGTTCGTCTGACAGGGAGCTACAACTTTCAAAAATGTCAGATTCTGTGGTGATTTTTACCTATTTTTTATCATAAAGTTTTTCTCAGCTCAAATCAATCCTTCAGTTTTCTTAAAAAACGCTTTATAATCATTCACTCCGGCTCCGCTCTGCTCCTCTCGCTCTGATTGGTCAAAGCGATCACATGATATACAAGACCACGCTCCGTGTGCGCGGTCGCGTGCAGTCGTGTGCCCGCGGGAGAAAAGACTCTACTGCACATGCTCAGTCGGCCCACAGACACCAGAAGAACCTCACCGGGCTGAAGGAGAATCTGGGACCATGAGACATTGAGCTCAGCCCATTGACTTGAATGGGCGAACACTTTGAAACCCCGGGCTTGGATCCACAGCAGCGAGGCTGAGATGCACCGTCTCACCTGGTGATCTTCTCGTTGAGCCTTGGTGGGTACAGACGTGTGGGCAGGTCCCTGTCCCCCAGTGGAGGTCGACCTCCAGCAGACACAGTTTCTCAAACCCGTCTAAGAACCTCACTAACCCGAGGAGGTCAGACTCTTAAACCTACAGTCGTGGGGCAGGCGTCTGGACCAGACCCAGGCCCCCGTTGCACTCCTAACAGGGCGCGGGGGCCCAGTGCACACAGGTCGACCTGGTGGACCTGCAGTAGCAGATGAAGTGGTGCAGGTCTGAATCCACTCGGCTGCTTCAGGGAAACTGTCAGTGACTCTTTAAATCAGTTCTGGTTCCTTTGGTCGATCCACTGGGACTTGGAGCTCGTTTGGCCGCGAGTCGAGCTTCACCCCTCATCTTCTTCACTCACCACAAACAGGAAATGACATCATGAGTCTCCCTCCCATGATGCATTTGTTGGTTGAGTTTGGACCTGAGTTCACATTCTCACCAGAGGAACCAGAGTTTGGCATTTGGAGACCGAGACCTCCTCCTTTCTGAAGTCTCGGCCTGTTTGATTTAGTGCAGATCTGAGTGCGACAACTGCTGTGGATGTGAAAGAACCCTTAGTCCTGGTTCAGTCCTGGTTCAGTCCTGGTTCAGTCCTGGTTCAGTCCTGGTTCAGTCCTGGTTCAGTAATGGTCAGGACAAATGCAGGTGTAACCCAAAAAGCGTCTCACCTTCGTAGGGCTTCGGGGACGTCTCCCTCGGGCCCTTCCCTGGACCCCTCCTGCCGTACGGACCCTCGTAGTTGTAGTCGTACGTGGTCTTCGAGTATTTCTCCAGCTCTTTGGCCAGATTCGAGCGCGGAGTCGTGGTCGGGACGTTGTTTTTAAAGCCGTACTGCGGAATCTCCAGCTGCTTCACGAAACACATGGGTCTGAGGAGCACAAGATTAGACCTGGTTTAGTCCTGGTTCAGTCCTGGTTCAGTCCTGGTTTAGTCCTGCTTCAGTCCTGGTTAGTCCTGGTTTAGTCCTGCTTCAGTCCTGGTTCAGTCCTGGTTCAGTCCTGGTTTGGTTCAGTCCTGGTTTAGTCCTGCTCAGTCCTGGTTCAGTCCTGGTTCAGTCCTGGTTCAGTCCTGGTTTAGTCCTGCTTCAGTCCTGCTTCAGTCCTGGTTCAGTCCTGGTTTAGTCCTGGTTTAGTCCTGCTTCAGTCCTGCTTCAGTCCTGCTTCAGTCCTGGTTCAGTCCTGTACCTGAGCACTCGGTCCGAGGCCTGGCCTTTGCTGTCCGGGTTGTGGGTTTTCTCGTGGACTTTCGCCATCTTCTCGGCGGCGGCGATGGGACAGCCGGACAGACTGAGGACGAGAGAAACGCCGTCAGCTCAGAACGAGAACGAAAGTCAACAGAGGTGTGACGCTAACTGAAGGCACTGCTCTGTCTGAAGCTCTGTCAGGCTTTAAGTTTCGTTTTAACACAATCTGACGCAAAAGTTGGACACTCGAAACCGGAAAACGAAGCTTTAGCTATGTCCATTCATATATTAAGGATTTGTGTGTGACGTGTCAGACTGAGATTATTCCGTTTATTTTTATATAATCACAGCGACTTTAAACAACGCAAACAACATAAAACTGTCTGAAATCTCCAGCTCGTTAGATCAGTGTCATAGAAAAGTATATATGGTCCCAGTCAAACAGAAGTAAACAACAAGGCCAAAAATTCAAGTGAATTCATCTGATATAAAAATGTATTGAACAGATACATATGTACTCTAGTTTATCAAACTGTTCACCTTTTTTCTGGACCATTTTTGGTTCTAAAGTTCCATCCGTTTTAAACAGACCATGTATGAAACATGGAACAAAAATTATTTCCCAAATTTCAAAGACTCAAAAATCATGTAAATAAATGTTTGTATTTCATCATATCTTGTGTTATTCCATCTTTGAACTGTTGATGAAGGGACAGGATTTTAAAAAAATATATATATATTTAAAATGATAAAAATTTTCTTGGAAGGACTGACATATTTTATAGAAATAGTTTCTTTCATTTTGAAGTAATATTAAAATATTCAGAAGAAAAAAGCGACAAATGATGTAAAATCCTGCACCTTCTACTTGTTTGTACAATTTTCCCTCCGTTACTTTTCCCTCCGTTACCATGAACTTTCTTAATAAAAAATCTCATGAATCAAAAAGTAAGAGGTTTTTCAACCTAATCTTGTACCATATGGTAGAAAACTATATGAAGCAAATATTCAAACCAGTTTGTTAAGGATATGGAAGTGAGAACCAAGAGTTATCACTGTTTGGATTTATTGACCAAAAAGTGCTGCATATTTCATTCCCTCCGTTACCGACATGAGTTTTTTTAATTTTTTGTCTTGAACTTGAAAGAATCTCACAGGTTTAACTTGACCCTGTTGGAGTGTAACTCTTTCCTACATTCTGATACTTTACTTATTTCAATAGTTCCTCTAGTTTCTGAATAAGAGACATTTGAATGTCAAAAATCTGACCCTGTTTCCTCCGTTAACCACTTGACCGAACCCAAAGCTGAAGTCGTCCTCCTGGGTTGTGGAATAGATCTGATCTAATTCCGACGGAGCTTTGTCAGTCTAATCGACGCTCGCTCTGTGTCCGACCTTTAGTCTCCAGATATTTACAACGACTTCATTCATTCGACATCGTCCTGCACCAACCAAGAACTGAAAAACTACACGAGGTTAAAGGATCATAAATATTTTGTGGCGAGATGTGTGAGATCTTTGTCGATCACCAAACATCACATCTGCTCCTGAAACAGCAACAGTAAAGAGACTCATAAATTGTCATCTGTTTCGGTAAAATACAAAAAAATCTGCTAAAAAAACGATCCAAACACAAAGAAAATGTGACTCTGCTGACTCGTGTTGGTCCTGAATGGGCCGAGTGCAGAACAGTTTTCCACTTGATTCACAATTTTATTATCACCAACCACCAGTCCCAGTTTTTGATGTTGAAAATCTGGTCACCCTGAGGAAACTAAGACTAGAGTTTGGCTCAGTGTTCTGCGGCTTCGTTTCCGTCTCACCTTCGATGCGAGTTCCTGTTGCTGTTTACGTGTCCGCGTCCAGAGCAGCCCGGAGTCGGACATTTTAGAACGTTCTCGTACATCGCGAGAACTTCACAGGGGAGGAGTTAGGAGACGAGGGGAGGAGATAGGAGACGAGGGGAGGAGATAGGAGACAAGGGGAGAACATAGGAGAGGAGGGGAGGAGATAGGAGGCGAGGGGAGGAGATAGGAGACATGGGGAGAACATAGGA